GGCTGCCAACCTGACCCAGCTGGGCATCGGCTCCGCCAGCGCCGGTGAGGCTGTGGGGCTGACAGGGTGCTGCCGGGAGTGCCGGGAGTGCCAGGGGACTGACAGGAGTGCCAGGGGACTGACAGGGTACTGCCGGGAGTGCCAGGAGTGCCAGGGGACTGACAGGAGTGCCAGGGGACTGACAGGGTACTGCCAGGAGTGCCAGGGGACTGCCAGGAGTGCCAGGAGTGCCAGGGGACTGCCAGGAGTGCCAGGGGACTGCCAGGAGTGCCAGGGGACTGGCAGGAGTGCCAGGAGTGCCAGGGGACTGGCAGGAGTGCCAGGGGACTGACAGGGTACTGCCGGGAGTGCCGGGAGTGCCAGGGGACTGACAGGGTATTGCCAGGAGTGCCAGGGGACTGACAGGAGTGCCGGGAGTGCCGGGAGTGCCAGGGGACTGACAGGAGTGCCAGGGGACTGACAGGAGTGCCAGGGTATTGCCAGGGGACTGACAGGAGTGCCAGGGGACTGCCGGGAGTGCCAGGGGACTGACAGGGTATTGCCAGGGGACTGCCGGGAGTGCCAGGGGACTGACAGGGTATTGCCAGGAGTGCCAGGGAACTGACAGGGTATTGCCAGGAGTGCCAGGGGACTGACAGGAGTGCCAGGGTACTGCCAGGAGTGCCAGGGGACTGGCAGGAGTGCCAGGGGACTGACAGGAGTGCCAGGAGTGCCAGGGTACTGACAGGGTACTGACAGGAGTGCCAGGGTATTGCCAGGGTACTGCCAGGGTACTGCCAGGGTATTGCCAGGAGTGCCAGGGGACTGACAGGAGTGCCAGGAGTGCCAGGGGACTGACAGGGTATTGCCAGGGTACTGCCAGGACTGCCATGAGTGCCAGGGGACTGACAGGAGTGCCAGGGGACTGACAGGGTACTGCCTGGGGACTGACAGGACTGCCATGAGTGCCAGGACTGCCAGTGTACTGCCAGGAGTGCCAGGGGACTGACAGGAGTGCCAGGGGACTGACAGGAGTGCCAGGGTACTGCCAGGGTATTGCCAGGAGTGCCAGGGTAC